GCTCGTGCGTGGCACTCCTTGATCGCGGTCAGTCACTCATGAATTCCTTCTCGAATCACTACTGGAATATAGGAACTAGAAAGAAAAGCTTGAAGCAAGTGGAAATGCGTCAAGGGAATTTCTTTCTCAATGCAGTAGGAAAGCCTACTTGAGTAGTGCGTTGGATCTACACTTGGACAGCTTCATCGAGACTTCACATAGCTCCTGGTGGAGTACTAGTATGACAGATTCTCTTGGAAGTGGATGGAGGGTGCTTCTCAGCTAGAGTTGGGGGTGGGGTCGCTATATTGGCTAGAGTGAGTCTTCCTACATGGCTGGACGCCAGGTTCTAGACAAAGATGCGGGGGTTACCACCACATCCTTTCCCGATAGACTTGAAGTTCTTCATAGGCAAGCGGGGTAGAAAATCTTCTCTAAAAAAGAGAGAGACCAAAGATGACAGAGGAAGGTATTCAGTTCAAAAAATATACGGTAGTCAAAACAACTTCAGTCCAAAATTGACTAAGGACAGAAGCAAGCTACAAGCCTTAGCAACCGCTTTCCTGCAGATCTTATGTAAAAAAAGCAGCGGAAGACTCAATGCCTAAGCAGTTACACGTTGTTGATTTCAGACTCCTCCGATAGAGCCAACAACCATTCAGTGAATTGTCTTGTGTTACTAAGTTTCAAGACATTCACTGAATCCTTCACGATGTTTTGGTGGTAGGTACTAGTACATCGAAGCCTTAGAGAGCTGCTGGACTCCAGACAAGCCATTACAAAGCACCATCAGCCCAGGTCAGGCGACCCAAAAGGACCAGACATAAACCACCCGCTAAAAAAAGGGTAAATAAGACAAGCGATCAAGTTGGCAAGTCAGGGATAGAGGATGGATTTTTCCAGGGTGTGTGAACTTCCTTATATATGAAGCCACATGTGCGGGTGTGAAAGGATTTTATAGTCTCGGTCATTCTTCTATGAAATATCGATTCTATCAATCATTCCATTTCAGAATCAAGTCCCCCCTAAATAAGTAAGGCCCCGCGATTCCCCAAACCAGCTCCTGGCCTTACCCGGTGGAATCGGCTGAGGGTATTCAGCATGGGCGGAGAGAGCATCTGAAGGGTTACTTCACCTTTGGTGATCACACACCGACCCGGGAAATCACTAGCTACAATCGATGGAATTTTGATTGAAACTATTCATAAAAAAAGTTGCCTAAAGCCCCACCCACCTTTTCTATATAGCTGCATAACCATAACAAGTTTTCTCTAATGCCATACCAAACCAAGACCTTTCCTACAAGGAAAGAAAGAACCCGCGGCTCCCCTTTTTGAATACCCCTCACTCCCAGGAGTGAGTTCTTTCTGCAGGATTTAGGGATTCCTGTCTTTAGTCATATTACTCTCCTTGGAGATATGATTGATATGGGCTTTCTACTTCTTACCTATTCACTTCTACTTGAACCGTTCAACGAGCGTTGTAACGATCCAAGGAAGGAAATCTCCTGGCTCAGCACTAGTCAACATGGGGTCTCACATACCCTGCAGACAACAACCGCAGCAGTCACCAGTCTGGTCCCCTACACAAGTAACAGGCAGCCGGGCACCTCCCAAAGGCAGATCTGTTTTGCCTGCGGAGACCGACCCGGCACCGACAAGCTGAGACTCCCGCGCGGTAAGACGGTTAGGTCAGTATTCGTCTACGAGAGGCGCACTCGTATGCCTTTCGAAGAGGCTTCCCCTTGTAAATATTCTCAGGTAAGAAAGCAGAACCTCACCTCTTTCTGTTGCTGAACCTCAAACCTACTTTAGATCCACTGAAGCATGTAGATCTACTAGACTACAAGAAAGAAGTTGGTAGCAACAGAACTCTTTAAACCACTAGAGACAGTCACCTACAATAATCCAGTCTACGCAACATTGTAGAGACGTTTCAAACTCCACATGTCCATGAACAGTTCCGAAGTAGCAAGACGAGTGATTGAAGGCGCTGTAAGCAGTAGTGAATACTTTTCCATGGAGACAAACCCCTCCGGCGGAAACGTTCCCTTTGTCACGCATATAGACTGAACTCGCTGTGAACCTTTTCGGTGTGAAAGCGGCTCATGAAGTAGCCCTCTTTCTTTACAAAAAGGATACATGCCCCTTTCCCTTTACAGTCAAGTGGCTTTCCACTCCTCTCTCTCTTTGTTTCGATGAAAGCTTCTCAACGCTCTCGCGTTCTACGGGAACTTTTGACTATTTACCTTCGCCGGAAGCAAGGGCGAACTTTCCAAAACAAACAAATAAAGGGTGCTTGTGTTGTGGTTTTGAGTTCCTTGGCTTGTGTTCTAATAGTAACCACAGGAAAGCGGGGAGCATGATGGTCCCTAGTCTCGTTTTTGCCGAGCCTGATTCTCTATGGCATGGACGTCTTTGATTGGATGGAGACAGATATATAGAAAGTGTGCAGTGAGGGTGCTTGTAAATCACTAGGTAGCCTAGCTCGACCCAAGCCATGCCCAAAAGTCCCATGCCTTTCTTGGTCGGACCAACCCAACGGCGATTTCGACAAGTCTTTCTTCATTGGAAGAGCAAGAAGCGGAACTAGAAGAAAACTTTCTTTCTCTTTATGGATAACCAATTCATTTTCAAATATGTTGGGAGACTTTACCCAAGAAATGGGTCAAAAAAATGGAAAGATCAGGAACATAGAATAGATCTGATACAATACGGACTACCTATTTCAATTGTTGTGCTTTCACAAGTGCATACCTATACAAGGGTTCAAGTTTCGATCGATATTTGCGGAGTTGATTATCCCTCTCGAAAACAAAGATTTGAAGTGGTCTATAATTTACTGAGTATTCGGTATAACTCACGCATTCGTGTACAAACCAGTGCCAGACAGTAACACGAATATCTCCGGTAGTCAGTCTAACCATCAGCCTTGGCCGGTGGGAGCCGAGAAGTTTGGGATATATTTGGTGTTTCTTCCATCAATCATCCGGATGCCGGCTACCATCAACAGATTATGGTTTCGAGGTCATCCATTACGAAAAGACCTTCCTCTGGCGGTGGATGATATTGGAAGTACGCTGTTATTGATCCAGAGAAGCGTGTGGTTTCTGAACCCATTGAGATGACCCAAGAATTTCGCTATTTCGATTTTGCTAGTCCTTGGGAACAGCGTAGCGACGGATGGTCAGAATCAAGAATGGGTCAGTCAGGGGACAAATCAATAGGAAATGCTATTTGCTTCGTAAGAATAGGAAATGAACTTCTATGAAATGAAAGAGTTTCACGGGAATTGTCTTGATCGTCGGATATCATTGAGAAAGAAATAGGAAGAAGTGTTATCAGGCGTTCCTGCAATTCTTCCCAGTATGGAATGATAAGAAATCAAGCTACAAGTCTCATTCTCACGAAACGCACTGGTTTTTTTTCTTTCTTTCGGTTTCATTAACAGAAAAGACTTACTCTAAAGGGCGCTAGCGCTTGACCCAATAAGATCTCAAGGGGCCTGAAAAAGCATGTGGAGGCTGCTACTCTAGGCTCGCTACGCCTCTTCCAAGCTCCGCCCCTTCTTTCAAAATCAACAAACAGCGCTAACGAGCAAGAAAAGGATGCGCTAAGGCGCAGCGGCTCTAAAGCTGCTACGCACTTGCTTCTTGCCTTATCTTACTTAGTAAAGCAGCCTTTCGCGCTAGGCGCTACTTACTGTCTGGGTGGAAGCTGGCGGGCGGGGCTTGCTTAACCGGATACACAGGTGGGGATCTCTGTTGCATGCAAATCTTTCTCTCGGGAAAGCCTCGCTTATTCAAAGGAGCCTTATTTAGAACCCGCTTTTTTTTGCTTAGTTGTAAGTAAGCGTTGGTAGGAGCAGCAGGATGATGATGAGTATATAAATCAATAAAGACCAAAAAGAATAAATGGCAAGATAAATTAGATATCTATGGAAAAAATAACGATGTAGAGGGCGGAAACTGAAAGGAGGCTCGACCTACAGGGAAGTGGTGGGCAGGATTCTCTACAATAACACTGTTGTAGACCAATTGAAAGGGATGTAGCGCAGTTTGGTAGCGCCTTTGTTTTGGGTAAAAATGTCACAGGTTCAAATCCTGTACATCCCTACCTGCTATCTCCTCTGGGCAGTAACGAGGATCCATTGAGATCGATTCAAATTGGACATACAGATTTTCATTTTGCTGAGACTATCTTGCATGCAAGATGTATTGGGGGTACAAAGATCCTTTTTCTTTACAGTCGTATCTACTGTGATAAGAAAGCGCTCTTAGTTCAGTTCGGTAGAACGTGGGTCTCCAAACCCACGTCGTAGGTTCAAATCTACAGAGCGTGATTTTTTCTTCTTAGATCGAATTAGAATGAAATAGATTCATTCAGTAACTTTCACAACAATCGGAATTTGACCTCCTGTGCCCTGTGAATTAAAGAAAGGAGGAGCTAAGCCACTTGACTATAAGGAGAGGAGCTCACAGACAAGAGATTAAAAGACGGAACATATAAAAAGGGGAATTCAAGGGTAAGGACGAGATGGTTTTCTTTCACAATTCCACTCCCAATGGGAGTAGTAGAGCCATCAGCAAGCTTGCTTCAGCTGATGTTGATGGGTTAAGTGAAGAAAATAATTGCTCATACCAGAGTAGTGATCAATAGCACCGCTATCAATGATACACTGTCCACTACTCGAGGCTAGAAGGGCGGAATCTTTTCTACCTCTTTGCACAAAAAGAGACTGAGATGACGAAGTGGATGCGCCTTGATTTCCTCCGCTCCTTATAATGCCTGTGGAGTCCTCACCCTGCCTTTAGAAGAAAGCCTTCCATACCTATATTCGACTTGCATGTGTTAAGCATATAACCTTTCATCACATTCAGTCGACTTTCAATTCCAATCTCTGGAAGGAAGATATAGTTTATATATAGAAACCTAGTTTTGAGTTCTATTAAGGACCCGAAGAAGACAGGAGAACTGGGCATTCACAAGACTGCTTTGATTCTCATCATGATACATTCTTGTAATGTAAGCGGGTGAGAAACACGTATTGTGGGGAGAGGGCAGCAGGCAATGGATACCGTTCTCGCACCCGAGCCTGCAGTTGGTAGGTCAAATCCCTCTGTCCAAGTGATTGAGTTGAAGCTTTGGGCATAGAGCCCGAGCCCGGGAAGGAGTAGAGTCCAGCAACATTGAGCCCCAAAATAGAGTTTCTATTCAAATCCCTACTCAACACGGTGCCTTAAGGAGAATCCGAAGCCGGTTGCTAGCGGAAGTAGCGCGACAAAACAAAAGCTACGCATTCACAAAGAAATGGTGTAAAGCAAGGAAGGCGCAACAGTTAGCGACTGCCCGAGGGTGATCCCTCTCTTATTTTCCCTTTTTTTAAGATGAAAAGGAGTTCAACTACAGCCCGTCAACATTAAACTTCCGCTTTTGGCAGCTGTTAAACGAAGTGATACCGTACGCAAGTCCGCACCTATCTTATATAGTGAGGAGTGCGTTAAGGCGAGTTGATGAGCTAATACGGCTGGCTTACTTTTCATGTGGAAGACGACGTTAAGCACTGGGAGCCAGCCACAAAGAATGGGGTTTTAATGTTGATATATACCGTCTTTCAGCTGACCTTTCAAACCATACTTATGATAAGCTAGAAAAGACTAACAGGTACTGTCCTAATAAAAATAGCGGATAGTTTAGTATAACATTCATTCCGGCCGCCGCTGCCTGCTTAAGACTAAAGCTAGTAGTGAGACTTCTATTCTGCCGCCCTATCTAGTAAGATCCTCTAAAGCTATGTTTGGCGTAATCAATATAATAGTTGGGCTCGGCTTTACTGAAGAAGGGGCAGAGTCTCGCTACAAGACTACTACTATACCAAACGCACTCCGGTGGATTAGTTGAGTGACTAGACTGATACTCTAAACGAGACCAATACTATCAAAAAGAAAGTAGCAAAAATCATAAGAGAAGCAAAGTTCACAGAAGGTTGGGAAATAGTACGCCCGGTTACTAGGGTTCCATTGGGAGCCCAATCATATAAAGAAGGATTTGATCCTGGCTCAGAAGGGCATAGCTATATGCTTAACACATGCAAGTCGAACGTTGTTGCCGCCAAGGGAGCTGGGCAGAAGGAAGAGGCTCTAGCTAAATTAGCTAGTCTCGCCCAGGAGGTGAGAAGAGTTGAGAATTAAGTGGCGAACGGGTGCGTAACGCGTAGGAATCTGCCGAACAGTTCGGGCCAAATCTGAAGAAAGCTAAAAAGCGCTGTTTGATGAGCCTGCGTAGTATTACAGGTAGTTGGTCAGGTAAAGGCTGGCCAAGCCAATGATCTTAGCTGGTCTTTTCGGATGATCAGCCACACTGGGACTGGGAACCGGCCCGGACTCCACGGGGGCAGCAGTGGGGAATCTTGGACAATGGGCGAAAGCCCGATCAACAATATCAGCGTGAGTGAAGAAGGGCAATGCCGCTTGTAAAGCTCTTTCGTCGAGTGCACCCGATCATGAAACAGGACTCGAGGAAAAGCGTAACTCCGTGCCAGCAGCGCGGTAAGACAGGGGGGCAAGTGTTCTTCGGAATGACTGGGCGTAAAGGGCATGGAGGCGGTGAATCGGGTTGAAAGTGAAAGCCGCCAAAGCGGCGGAGATACTCCTCGAAACCAATTCGCAGAGTGAGACAGGAGAGTGGAATTTCATTGTAGGGTGAAATCCGGAGATCTACGAAGGAACGCCAAAAGCGAAGGCAGCTCTCTGGGTCCCTACGGCGCTGAGGTGCCGTTGCAGAAAGCATGAGGCGAACAGGATTAGATACTGGTAGTCCATGCCGTAAACATTGAGTGTTCGCCCTTGGTCTACGCGGATCAGGGCCCAGCTAACGCGTGAAACACTCCACTTTGAGGTACGGTCGCAAGACCGAAACTCCAAAGGAAATTGACGAGAAGGGGCCTGCACAAGCGGTGGAGCATGTGAGTTAATTCGATACAACGCAAAAACCTTACCAGCCCTTGACATATGAACAAGAAAACCTGTCCTTAACGGGTAGGTACTGACTTTCATACAGGTGCTGCATGGCTGTCGTCAGCTCGTGTCGTGAGATGTTTGGTCAAGTCCTATAACGAGCGAAACCCTCGTTTTGTGTTGCTGAGACATGCGCCTAGGAGAAAGTCTTTGCAACCAGGGAGTAGTCGAGCCGAGTGACATGCCAGCGCTACTAATTGAGTGCCAGCACCTAGCTGTGCTGTCAGTAATAAGGTAGCCGGCGCCTTTCGAAACACTGTTTCTAGTTAGCGCTGTTTTTGATTGCAGCTAGCGCGATTGACTAATAAGATAGAAAGAGGCGCTCTCGCTTGTTTGAAAGTCAAGTTTTGGCCTTATCTTGCAGGTGACGACGACGTCGAGTTGACGGCAGAGAAAGACTCGGCATTCAGGCGAGCCACCCGGTGGTGTGGTACGTAGTGGGTTTAGTACGCCCCGCCCAAACAAACGGCTCCGAAACAAACAAAAAGGTGCGTGCCGCACTCACGAAGGACTGCCAGTGATATACTGGAGGAAGGTGGGGATGACGTCAGAGTCCCGCATGGCCCTTATGGGCTGGGCCACACGTGCTGGCTGCCAATTACAATGAGGAAGCAAGGCTGTAGGCCGGAGCGAATCCGGAAAGATTGCCTCAGTTCGGATTGTTCTCTACGCTCAGGAACATGAAGTTGAATCCTTCGTATCATGGATCCAGCATGCCGCAGAATATGTACCAGGCCTGTACACCGCCCGTCCCCACACCCTAGGAATTGAACTCGCCCGAAGCATCGGACCAATGATCACCCATGACTTCTGGCGGCACACTAGTGCCACAAAGGCCTTTGGTGGTCTTATTGGCATATACCACGGTAAGGGTCTTCGACTGGGAGTGAAGTCGTAACAAGGTAGCCGTAGGGAACCTGTGGCTGGATTGAATCTTTCGCGATGAAGCACTCTTCCCCCAACTTTCCAACATGAGGGCTAGCTTGCTTCCACTGGTGGCGGGCGTAAGGACACGTAGCCGGGGGCGAGTCCAAAATCCAATTGTTCCATTTTCCTTCTTGTTCATCAATCGGAAATCAAGACAAACCGGGCACTACGGTAAGACATTGAAAACACCCCGATCCATTCCGACCTCGATATGTGGATCGTCTTGCGCCATATGTACTGAGATTGTTCGGGACATGGTCCAAGCCGGTGAAAAATGAAATGAAAAAGATTCTGTAGCAGGTGAGCGTTCACTCTCCGTTTCCGACACCGACGAATAATAGAGGAGTGACCGGGAGTTGTGATATGCGAAAAGCGCTATGCTTTACGAAAGAGTAAGGAAGAAGGCTGCTTTTATTTAAGTACGCTTTAGCTACTCTAACCACCGCTCACCCCGATCACATATTGGCACGTTCATGGTCATCATAATCAAAAGGCCGTAAGTAAAAGAAGACCTATGCATCAGTGTACTGTCATGATCCCATATTCTCTTATAAGAGAGGCACGCCTGCTTTTAGCTCTTTCACTCTTGCTTTTGCCTTACCTTCTTTCGCAGATTGGATGAAAGATTCGAGATGACTGAGACGGAAGCCAACTCCTTATCTTTGGTTGGAAAAAACCCAACAAACCGTTTACTAAAATACAAGCCTTCCCTCATTTGTAGAGCGAAGGCGGAAACTACAAGAACAAAGAAAAGAAAGGATGATCAAACGAAACGGTCTATTAACAGGGTCAGCACCCCACCATAGTTATATGACTGATCTGCGGAGCGTCTTTACAGATCGGCAGGGGCAAAAGAAGTTCTTCAGGATACCGGTTCGCAAGAGATATTTCCAGATAAAGATATGGAGGACATGCTAACTACCCTTTTACTGTTCCCCAGTGGTTCACATCCCAGGTGAAATTGTAGACCCCCTCACCATCTCCAAATTAACACATTTGAATCATTTCTTGATAAATATGCAGTACGTTTTTATGAGGGGTCATACAAGGCTATCCAATCCCTCCAACGGGAATTGAACCAAACTCCTGCGGGATTACTCCCGGGTAAGCTAGACTTTATGCTTCATCAAGAGTACGCGAATTTGTGTAATTATTGATATATTAATACTTCCG